GCTTCACATCTCCCACTCAAATTTTATGATGATGGGATATTCAAAGTCTTACCAATTTTCTGTTCAGGAAGATTGTTTTAAAATTGTTTCAATATTTAAATACCTTTTGCAGACGTGAACCTCTGCCCATCTTTACTTCTGAGATTCAGCCTCTCCAACGTGCTCTTTGATTTATTTTTCCATCTACCTTTATTTATCCAGGTGGTCTCATTGAGCCACGACAACTCATTTTCAAGAGACCTGTTTAGGGAGCACATGGTGGGTAAGGGCCTTGCTCAGGGGCGCAGAGTGGGGCGAATTAGGGTGGAGGCAGGTGTGGGTGTTTCACCTTTTCCACACATTTTGATGTCGACGGTACCGGGAGTTGAACCTGCGACTTTACGATCACAGGCCCATCTTCTAACCTCTGCGCCACCACTCCCCAAAATATACACACAGTAAAATTATATTGTATAAAATTATGCACGGTTCTCGTACCGACATGTTGGTTGTGAAGGGAAAATGAAATTGAGGCTTCAGTGTTTGTGTCACTCTTCCTGAAGCAGAGCAATTTATAACACCGTGTCAAAGCTTGTATTAAAAACATCACGTGACATACATACATCGATCGATGTATTCAATTATATCGTGGCAGAATCTTTAAAATACGCGTTTATTTTGAAATTCCCAAGGCAGGTCTGTGTGACCATTTCCGTGCGCGGCTGCGCTCTGCGGCCGCCTCAGCAACATGGCAGACGAGGCAGAAAACAGATAATGAAATTCACTCTGCTGCTGGATTTAAATCAACTCTGTGGAAATATCTTGATTCCAACTGAAGCTCAACAAACCAAACTCATGTCGTGTGCAACAGGTGCCATGTGTGAGTTTAAATACTCAGGAAACTAATTTGGCCGTTCTCCTGAAGAAGAAACACGACATTGATAGCCATGTTATGTAAGCTCAATATCTATTTTTGTTTCTTTATAGCTGAAAGATAATCACGGCACTTTTAAGTTAACTGGTTTAAAAGAAGCACTTAAACATGAGAAATGTGAGACTACACTGAACAGGTCATTTATTTTTATTTTGTCATTAATTAAGTTTTATTTATTTATTTAAATGCCTGGTGCCTGTAATAACAGAAATAAAATGGTGAAATGATATTTGAATTGTTTGTATAAATGTATTTGTATGTAAATGAGATGGGCATTTGATACCGCAGTATATCAACTTGTGAATCGAATAGAATCAAAATCGTATCGTGACAGACTTTGTGATATCGAGTCATACAAACAAATCAATATAATATCGTATCGTGGTAAAGCTGGTGATTTACACCTCTAGTGACAAGTGACATTCGAGGCTTCGGATGTGATCGCAGCATCATTTCCCTCTTCGCTGGCTCAGAAAGTTCCACTGCATTCTGAATCAATCACAGTTTTACAGATTTGAATGGTTTAGTGCTACACAAGCTATTTAAGATGCATCAATACTCTTAAAAAATATTGGTTTGTGAGGAGACAATTTTGTACAGTGGATTTGGTATAATTTGGCAATTTTCATGAAACGGCATCCAAAGGTTTGAGATCAATTGGATCTTATTCCACCAAATAAAGTGTAGTCTAACAATGGATCATTAGCACACTGATGGCTGTTTACTATTCACAGAGGGCTGAGTGATACTAGCAATCACAGCATTGTAAGAGGGGGACAGTTGAACCCGGAGGCCTCCACCCCTGTTTAATGATGGACGATTTCTTTTCACAAAGATGGCCTCCTTTACTCCTCTCTCAAACCATCGTTCCTCTCTGTCCAGGATGTGAACATCTTCATCCTTGAAAGAGTGGCTGCTGGCCTGGAGAAGAGTGTAGACCGCAGAGTCCTGACCTGATGATGTTCTGTGACCATTAGGGGTGTACCGAACCGTTTCGGTTATGTTTTCACTCATTAAATTTTACTAACGAGAGATTATGCGCAGCGGAACTAAAATTCCTAAGCGAGTTTCAGCACTTGTTGCGGTCTTCTGTTTGGGAACATTATGGCTTTCTTGTTAAACTTGAGATGAACGTGAACGTCTCTTCTACAAGCAAGAAAAGCAGCTTGTTGCAAAGAGCGATAACAGCAGCGTTTAAACAACCTTTATCAGGTCATTCAGATCAGTCCAGAGCAGCAACACAAGCTGTAGGAGGCTTTAAAGCTCTGGATCTACGTTTCTGGTGTTGATGCGCCGGCTTTAAAGTTCTTGAGCCCCGCTACATCAAGTCACGTCAACACCAGACAAAAAGTTGTAGCAGCACTTTATGAAAAACCTCAAACTGATATTGTCAACAAGTCCTGGACCAGATTAAAGCTCTGCCCTGATGATGATGAGCGTGTTTTATTTCCAGTCTGGGACAGAGAGAGCAGCTGAGTGTTCTTCCTCAGAGATCACCTCCAGCTAAGAAGTCTGATGAGTGACCTCTGAACTTTTCCAGGGACAGGTGGGAGCAGGTCCAAGAGGTTGTGAGTAATGAGGCCAAAT